ATCGAGGCAATCATGCCGATGACCCCAAGTGCAGTTCCCACGGAAGCTGAGACTGATGAGAAGAAGGCCAAGATCAAGACCTTTGAGGATGAGCCGACAGAGCCAACACTCAACCAAGGCGGGCCATCGTCCGGCAGTGGACGAAATGATGAACCCATCCTCATCAGCGAGAAGCCTGCCATTGTGGAGCCCTCTCAGGAGGCGATGGAGACCGAACAGGTCATTGACAAGTCCCCCATGGAGATCAAGGTCTCTGCAAGACGTGCCTGGCCTGGTGGAGATGATGAAAACCCAGAAAAGAGGGCACGCGTGGGCGGAGTATATGTCGGAGCACTGTACTCGCCGACCGAGGATGTGATCGTCTATGAGGAGGATGTGGAAATGGCAGCGGTGGACTCTGACGACGAGGAGAGCAAGCCTTTGACGGAGGAGGAACGTGCACAGGGCCGAGAGGTCGAGTATGGGAAGATGGACAAGTACGACGCCTATGAGCCTGTGTCCTACCAGCCCGGCATGAAGGTGCTAGATGCCACCTGGGTGGAGGTGCGAAAGCCGGACGGAGCAGTCAGATGCAGATACTGCGTCCGCGAGTTCAAACGAGGCGATCCAAGGACTGATGTGTTTGCTGTAGCCTCCAGGGCACCAAGGACTATGGCATCTGGCTGGAGCGCAGGGGGGACATTGAGACCCTGGTTGTCCATTCGGACACCGACTGGGCGAACTGCAAGAAGACGAGAAAGTCATGTGCCTGCGCCATGTTCAGTGTTGGTGGCTGCTTGCTCTACAGCTACGCCCGCAGCCTACAGATGCTGTGCCTGTCCTCAGGTGAAGCTGAGTTCAATGGAGGAGTTGCAGCATGTGCCGAGGGATTGTTCCTGAAGGAGATCTTTATGTTTGCAGGACATCCCATCAAGATGGAAGTCTTCCTGGACTCGAGCGCGGCACGAGGAGTATTCCAACGGCAAGGTGTGGGGCGCATCCGCCATTTGGAGGTGAAGAGCCTATGGGTTCAGGAGGCATTGCAGCGAAAGCTGTTCACGCTGCACGCGGTGCCGAGCAGTGACAACACAGCTGACTTTGGCACCGAGGCCCTGACGATTGAGAGATTCCACAAGTTGAGGGCCATGTTGAAGATTGGCACCTATGAGGAGGTCACCGCGAAGGAGAAGAACCACGTGAATGTGGTGAACGCTGCTGGCCAGTTCAGCAATGCTGCACTCATCACGATGTTGGAGGAGGCAGATGGAGCAAGAGAAGCTGATGAGCCCAATACCGAGAGTGGCACCCTCAGCCAGTGGATCTTCATGCATTTGGCCATCGCCTTTGGCTGGGTCCTGCTGATCCAGGCCATCATGTTGGCCGGATTCCTCTGGCTGTTCGGCAAGATCAATGTGGGCTTGAGCATCCGACTTGGGAAGACGACGGAGACAAAAGATGCAAGCGCCCAAGTCGAGTGGATGGCGCAGAAGTGGAGCAAAGTCTTCTGGCTTGAAGGCCGTGAAGTTTTCCATGTTGATTGCACATGCCCCCGGCTGCAGCAGAGGTCGAGGGAGTTTGAAGTGCTACGGCTTTGTAGAAGCTGCCCGACAAATGGGCCAGCATGACATGCCTGTGAACAATACACCCCGTGTATAGTCAGGGGGTAGCAGGCATATACATGAAACTTGTACACGTACATTTGCAGCCCTTTAGTGGTCTTGGAAAAGGGGCGCCACGCTTTGCAGACTACCTTTTTGGCACCTGCAGCAAGGTCACTTGCACAAAAAGAGTGGTGGACTTTGCAGCATTTCGTCAGCGCTGCTGCGATCTCATGTCTTCAACATTTTTTGCAGCAAAATCACCTACACAAAAGGAGTAGCTGACTTGTAAGCAACAATTATGTGAGATCACAACATTTCGAAAGAACTGCTGCGATCTTGTCCTCTCAATTTGAGTAGTGGACTTTGAAGCATGTCCTCTCAAAAATACAAGTCTAAAAAATACAGTATTTGCAGTTTCCAGTTTCTTGAGCCTAAAGGCCAATTGTAACCCAATTTTTTGCAGCAGTGAGGTTTCAGGTTGCTCCTTGAAACTGTGTATCGCCAAAGAATGTCAAGTTTGCCAAAAGCATGTGTAGGAAATAGTTCTGCACATCTCTGCCTCCAATAGTTGTGAAATTTATTCAAGTAAAAAATTGTCCAGGTAGTTCCTGTGACTGCCTGCCTCCCCTTAAAAAATCTAATGTAGGCAATTGTGAGGTTCAAACTGTTTGGTCTCACTGTTCCAAAAAAATCAAGCTCTTCAAGGTTTGTTGACAGCGACTGCGACCCAATGACTCTGTACTCTGTACTAGTTTTTTGAATATATAGTCATGGAAGTTTCCAGTTTCTTGAGCCTATTGCTGGCCAATCGTAACCAAATTGTTTGCAGCAGTGAGGTTTCAGGTTGTTGCTTGCGCCCAAACAAGTAAAGTTTGCAAAAAACGTGCAGGAAACAGTTCTGCCCACGACTGCCTCCAATATTTGTGAAGGTACTTCCAAAAAAGAGTTGTCCAGGTAGTTCCTGTCATTGCCTGTCTCCCTTGAACAGTTCCCATGTGTAGGCAGTCGTGAGGTTCAAACTGTTTGCGCCGCAGGCGCTAAGCAAATATAAGAGATTAAGGATTGGCCCGCCGCAGGCGCACAATTTTCATAATCTGGAAGCTTAAGAATTGGCCCGCCGCAGCCGCAGGCGCCCAAAAAAAGAAACTCAAGTTCCAGAAAATCTATCTAAGTTCCGGAATTTTTCTAAGAACCCCCTGAGGCCCTGACACACAGAGCTCCAGGCCTCAGGTTGTTTTGTTGTTGGTGTTTATGGTTTTGCCTTCACCTTTTTCACGTTTTATCACTTTTTATACGATTTTGATTTTTTTTCGGTAACTAATTCATTCTTTTTGAGATTTGTTTGTTTGAGATTTTCTCACCTGCTAAATAGTTAATCACCTTTACTTGCCTTTAAAGGTTCTCAGATTTTTGATTGTTTTTGAGACTTATTGAGAACCCCTTCTTCAAGAGTATTGAAAAAACAACTCCTTTGCGGGTCCCAAATGCAGCATTCCTGATTCCCTCGATTTTGGAAAAATCTAGGGAGTCAGGGAAGTATTTTTTTGGTCAGTCAGTTGCGCTTTCATACATCAGCCTGCTTGAACGAGAACACCTTTTGAAAACATTAACTTCGATGTCTTATATAAGTACGTCAGCTTGCTTGGAAAACAAAAAGAAAACAAAAAGAAAAAGACAGAACGGTCCCGGAATTTGAGTTTAAAAAAAAAAAAGATACTTGTCAGCGTGACCACCGCGTGATTTTGAAGACCTTTGGATGCAAATTTCCATTGAGACTTGGAGATGTCCTTTGATTGGTTTTTAGATTTTGAAGGTCAATGGATGCAGATTTCCATTGAGACTTGGAGATGTCTATTGATTCTTTTTGGATTTTGAAGGTCGTTGGATGCAGATTTCCATTGAGGTTTGGAGGTTTCCATTGAGATTCTTTTTGGGTTTTGAAAGTCTTGGGATGCAGATTTCCATTGCGATTTGGAGATGTCCATTGATTTGTTTGATGTTGAAGGTCTTCGGATGCAGATTTCCATAATATATTTATAATTAATCTCTATATACGGCTTCCAAAATTCACAAAAAGCATGTGCACTGCGCACTTCCTTTTCCAAACCCCTTGTTCAAACGTATTGACAAACAACAAACATCATTCCAGCAAAGGTGGTAGTCCAGCAAACAAGTTTCTGGAGCTTCTTGGACTGCAGGTTTCCTGAGACCGATCCTCATGTATTTTTATGTTCTTTTCCTGTAGGTTTGCTGTGCTTAATTACCATAATGTTTTTTACTCTTCATAATACCTTTAATCTCTAAGGCTTCCAAAATTTACCAACAACTATGCGCACACTTTCTTTTACAAAATCTCTTTTTCAAAAATCATTAACGACCCACCCCAACCCCCGCATTGCCAGAGATAGCCAAGCAATGACCCCCCATCCCCATCAATTGATTGATTTACTAAGATATCACTCGGGGGGCCGACCAACCAGGAGTCCCCCCACGAACAACGCCACCCATCATGTTTATCATCTCTTTCTCTCTCTTCCTCTCTCTCTCTTTCTCTTCTCTCTCTCTATGTTTCCCCCTCTCTCTCTGTCTCACTCTCTCTCTCTCTCTCATTCACTCTCACTCACTCACTCACTCTCCCTCAATCACTCTCACACTCACTCACAGTCAAAGCCTCCAATGACAATATTTCACAGTCAATTATCAAGTTTTGCAAACCAGAGAAGGATCACATATGTTCAAAAACCCTTTGTTGATATAACCACCTTTTGATTTCAACAATGAAATTTATACACTGCACCCACGTGGTAGTACATGTGCAACCTTTCTGGCTCACAACTTTTTCAGAAACATTTTGTTCCAAACATATAGTCTGAGCAAATTTATACACTGCACCCACGTGGTAGTACCTGTGCAACCTTTCTAGCTCACAACTCTTTCCAGAAACATCTTGTTAAACGCATTTAGCTCTGAGACAATTGGGTTTGTGTAATTTTGTTAAGGACATCTATGGACCCCCACATCTGTGTACCAAAACGGTTTCGCTGATTCAAGTGGGGGTATATATCACCAAAAGATCCATGCGCTCAACGATTCGATCCAAAAGCCGCCTGAAAGGGCAGAATGCCAATCATATTGTGGTTTCATCATTCATGATGTCCACTAATCTACTCATGAAGAGCACGAACCATCAAAAGCGCCATCACGTGTCCTGAGATCAAGCGTACAAAGATTTCTGGGCCCACCCCGTGCTATACGTTGCTGCTCTCGAAGAGGACAAGTTGTTTGCCTTATCACGCTGGTGGCATCGTGATTTTTTTGAAAAAACTTGCAGGTGCCATGCGCTTGCTTGCGCGCACGCGTGTGACTGTGTGTGGGGGGGTTCCTGGCCGTGCTTCAGTCCGGTCACGGCGCCTCTTTGAGGTCTGGACTCCTTGGTGAAGGACCCTGCCAGTTGGCTGCACAAATCGCCGGCACGCTTGAGTCTGAGAGCTGAGTGATGAGGATCGGGGGCCCCCCATCTGCATTCGATTGAAAGTAGGGAGGGGTACAAGTGGTCCAACTATTGCTTTGTTTGTCTTGGAGTTTTGGCACCGCAACTTGCTGCTACACAACAATCACCAACAGTGTTCTTGACACAGTGAGACGTCAGACAGCCAGTGACTGTTTGTTGTGCACCGTAGCTATTTGAATTGACAGGTTTACGCGTTACTTGTTGCTGGATGTTGTTCACTCAACTTGTTCAACCTGGGAAATGAAACATATGAAACAGTTTGGACTGTTCTGTTCTGTGCGCATGGAATAGCATCACGCACAGGTTCAGGCCTATGTTCCAGTATATTTATACCACACAGAAAGTCCTTCCAGTAAGCTGGCCAATTTTTGACAACGTTCAGGAAAAATGCATTTTGAATACTACAATATTAACCAACCCTCTCCATCAATCAATGAAATCAACAAATGGCTCGTCATCCCGAACCCAACCCGCGGTGGTTTGGAAAATTATTGCCATGTTCTGCATTTGCTGTTTGTTTGTTGTGTTGTCCCTGTTTTGAGGCTAGGCCCTCAGCTTTGACATTGAGGTCGTGGATGTTCTGAAGATTCACACCAACGGCGGTGAACGGCAAATCCTTGACGGTGCCAATGACCTCTTCAACCGCCAGGTGCTGTGGATACAAAAAAGGGTGTTCTATTGCCGGCCAATTAGAGTTGTGAATATCTTAGTATCTTCCGGCACCATTGATTTGTGTACAGGCTCCTACCAAAGGCTCAAAAATGACCATATAGTCTAAGTGACCTCGTTGGGTTTCCATATCGGTGCATGCTGAAAAACTGACACGGGATCGTGGCTAGGATGCCAACAGATGAGAAAAGGCCCAAGGAACCTAACACAACACATGTTGTGTCCAAAGTTGACACAGAAAATCACGTGTTTTTTCACCACAAAAGATACATTTTGATTGATCCCAATCTAAAATTATAGTCGTCCTGGAGTAGATCAAATCTGCAAAATCCAATACCATGCATTGTTTCATGTTCTACCAGGGTGGTGATCGGAAGACATGGTTCAATGTTTTGGGGGATCCACTGGAACATTTTGGCAGAGGCAATGCCCAGTATACTGATATCCTGAAATCGTGGCAACAGAATGCAGAGATATTCATTGTCTTCAAGTTGATGTGAGATGTTTGTCAAAGGTGTGAAAGGATGACCGTAATGTAGGCTGATGATAGAAAAACCCGCCAAGCTTGAAGAGGATGTCCAATTCATGTCTGGGGGGTCCTCTGGTCCGTCTACAGACTGACGACTGACGACTGTTTGGCGGACCGACTTCATCGATCCTGTCCCAGGCCGCGACCCCTTGGGGTTCCTTCTTCCGGTGAATGCCGCACACGCGGAGAAGGGCCCACACAAGCGACCCTCTCTCTCCTTCTTCGTTCCGTGGACAAGGCTTTTCTTGGTAGAGGACCATGACCATCGTTTGTTTCCAAGGCCTTCAAGGTTTGGTCGACATTTCGATAAAACAGGGGGGTCGGAGACATGCCAAGAGAGGTTGAACAGGCATTGGTACGCCTATCCCATGCGTACCAGGCACTTCTCAGGTGGTTCGACTGAAATCCCGGTGGAAAGAGGTGTTCACCTTTCCAGGAGTCAAGTGTTGTTTGAGCCAGATAGCCATCCGCCACTGCTTTCGCAGCACCCGGAAAGGGTTCGCCGAACAGCTGCTCCATGAGCACTGGTGGAGTTTCTTCCGACAAGCTCCTTTGGTATACTCGCCCTAGACCCTTATATGGCCTTTTGGGTTCATAAGGGATTTCCATGGGATGTACGGGTAACAAGGTTTCTCACCATTCGCCGACGATCAGGACCAAGTGGACCAAGTCCGGACAGGCTGGGTCAACTCTGGGGCTTCCCATGCTCCATCGTATAGGACCATCCTTAGGTGTAATTGAACTCACAGATTTGCCAGAATCAAACTCTGTGATAGAACTCAGGGACTGACTATACTTCAACTATATATATATATATATAACAATAGTTGCATTGCAGTTCATCATATATTACATGTTCCTGGCACTCGTCGTAGCTGTTTTCCAGACTCCGAGGTACTTGGACTCCAGGTCGACTCCAGGTACTTGAACCCTCCACCGCCATCAGCGACCGAAGCGAACGAAGCCTCCGACGCGACAGGCGGTGCGTGTGGTGATTCTCCACTCGGTGGGAGGCCTCAGGAGGAGAGGTTGAGAAATGGCGGTTGTTCGGGGGGGCGGGGTGAGTCCACTTTCATAACCAATTTTGTGGCCAGGGGTTATTTTGTTGGAGGTGCAATTTTGGAGGCAGTGTGGCCAGGGGTTATTTTGTTGGAGGGGTGGTCAAATCATGTCAGATCCAATACAAAGGTCTTACCCTCCCTGGATTCATTGATAGATGGCCACTGGTTTGGTTTTTCGGATGGCATGGTCATCCGAGTCCGGTGTCATTTTCCACGCTCTGTCACCCTGAGAAGTCCAGGGAAGAACACCTGGACTCTCAATATGTACCTCCCAGAAATTCCTGGCCCAGTGCATCCCAGTGCATCCCACTATACAAGGAACCAGGGATTCGGAACCGGTCGAACTGGTTTTACTCGAACTAGAACCAACTGGTTACCAGCGACATCGTGGTTTGCCTGGATGCCCTGGGTGGTTCTTCAGTTCGTGACCCTTTTGAGATCGGTTCGGTCACCGGTGTGGGACGAACGGGGTCATTTTTCGGTCGCACCGCGGCACGCGCGACGTCGTCTTCACCGGTCCCAAGGCTGTCCAGAGGCTTCGTCCGTGTGAATCCTATGGGTATCTATGCCCTATGGATCCACTGCCACCGTACCTCAGAAGGCGGCAATTAGGACGGCCCCTACATAAAGAGTCTCCCTGCTCACCGTACCGACCTGGTTCGGTATGTGGATCCGGGATGGGTGAATCTATGTGAATCCCCGAAGTAGTGGGGGAAGAGGTTCGAGTGAGGTAGGTGAGTGAGGTAGGTCCGTGAGGTTCCACGGTTCGCCGCAGTTCGGATCCACGGTCGTTCGCCCGGTGTTCGCCGGGTCTTCGGCCGTGATGCCGCACGTCACATGCAAGCCGCAGAAGTTCCGAGGGTGATCTCCACTTCTATGGAGCGGTCGGAGTGAGTCAGAGTGCACATCAACTTGGTATACCCTATAATGGCCACCCGTTTCTATGAAGAGGACATGCATTCGAGGGGTTTTGAGGTTTTTGTTCGTTCTTTTTGGCCCCTTAGGGTAGTGCATTTCAGCGGCGCTTCAGGGAACTGTTGCTTCTTTTTTCTGTTGTGGGTGCTCATACAGTGGATGGCACTGTCACTGGCACCCAAGGTCCATAATTGCACCACCAAACTCGGGGTCACCAGAGCGCCATCAAACCTCTGAAGACCACAGGTTCCTATCGGCGTGCTGTGGTGTGTCACCGGCACTTCACCACGAAAAACGCTCGCTCAAACGCCGTGGCCCACCGCGCTCCGCTGCCGAGGCGGAGCCACATCAGCTGTGGCCCTCGGCGGAGTTCCTCCTGCAGCGAGGTTATGCGGTTCTGGTGGAGCAACGCAGGCGGGTGACACGACCGGCGAGTGACGTGACATGACGTGTTTTGGTGGCGCAAGGTGACAAGCGCAATCACGAGATGCTTAGAGTTTTTGAAGGGAAGGGAAGGGCCCAAACTCAGAACTCGTGGGCCGGCGACCATTCCTACCCTGGCAGGATTGCGGCCGGAGATGAAGAGTGGCTGCGAAGCAGAGTGCAAGAAGTGGGTGGTCTTCAACTTCACGCCTTCCGCGAATAAAAGGCGCCTTCCGCACGCTGCGCACGCACGCCAAACGCACCTTGTCTTCGTCCGGTTTTCGCTGGCTGAGGGATGCTCATCCGAGTGTGTATCAACATATAGGCAGACCTTCCAGTTCGACCCCCCGGAAGAAGGAACATGAAAATTGACCCAAACTCCTCAACAACAGTCTCCCTCTGAAAAAGACACACCCATCCGTTATGGTGCTACAAACCGATGCTTTGGAACTAGCAAGATCCTGCCTTGGACGGAGCACCAGCTGAAGGAGCTCACTACATCTCACTACCATCTCCCCATCCGAGTGACCCGGACTGATAGAGGCCATTGTTGTTTGCCTCTTTTCAGGGTCACCGGTGAACAAAAAAAGGCTCAACTTCACGACCTTTCAGAAGCTGGAGTCCAGGTTTCTACAAAGGCTTCTCAGGCCGTTCAAGGTGAAGAAGTCTCGACTTCCGACCCCTGACACTACCAGACACGACTACCATGGGACAGGAATATGTCATGCCTCCAATTCATGTGAACATCTTTTGTTAAACGACCTTGTTGCATCCTTTTTCAACCACCCCAGATCGAGAGAATCGACTCTTCCAGTCCCGGACACTGGGACACCCGAACTCCCAAATCTGGACGAAGAGACATCGACCCAACACCTATATTGGGCCACAAAGGGCCTCTCCTATTGAAATACACACCCAGGCCCAGAGCTCGGAATGAACATGGTTACATGCAGGTCTTGGCCGCCCCCAAGTTCGGAAGACCATGAAATCCACTACAAACTGGTGGTTATTGTCCACTTCCATGTTCGTTTTCGGGAGTTTTCCTACAGATCCACTGCCACCCTTTGAACAAGTGATGTGTTCGACTCACCCAGATCGCTTCTCTACGGGTGGATGGCTCGGTGCTGGGGCGTTTCAGTGTGTGGTTTCACCTGAGAAAGGAAGGTCAAGACGTCACCCAGTCCCAGACAGCTTGTGGTTGGGTGAGGTATAGTTTTTTAATGGTTGTATCACGATCCATTTTTTGGAATCAGAAGATGAAGAGATTCACGGTATTTCACGCTGCCTGTTGTCTTCCTTTTGTTCCACACTATACCGGCCCGTACCGTCCCCTCCGTTCGCCCGTATTAGCTGCGCACAGAGCCGATGGACGAATTGACCTCCGCACAGAGCCGCGTGCGCTGCCTCACAAGGCGGCACAAAGGGATACCATGGGATACCAATGGCGGTAGAGAAAACAGAAAGGCACCATACGCGTTGATTTTTTTTCATCTCAAGCGCTGACTGACAACATAGATCAAAGCTTGAACGCATGCTGAGCATTGCGGAGCTGCAGGGAGGGCTATGTGTCATGACACCAGACTTTGGTTGACCGGCACCAGACCAGGGCCTCAGGGCCTCAGCAGTTCGACACTAAGCCCCCCAACCATACAACTGAGCCAGCTTCTGATGAAGGCGGCGCATCAACTCCTTACGCCTTACGCATCTGAATAACTCCAATCGAATACGACTACTGATCCCCAAACCCAAACGCGCACCCCGACGTGAAAGTCCCAGCGAGAGGCGAAGCTATTGTGCAAGGAACTCACCATCAAAACGCCTCTGAAAAGCTATAAGTTGAGTTCTGAGTGATTCTGCATGTTGTTTGTTCTGAGTGACTCTGTTGCTTGAACCTCTTTTCAACCCCGTCCGCCATCCCAAGCCGTATTCCTCCAATTTCCGCCATGGCCTACAGCACTGCCTCCGCGCCGCCCGCGCCGGTCTTGAACCTCCTCTCCGCTGCACAGCGGGTGCGCTGATTTTTCTTTTCCGGGCTTTCGCTCGTTCAGCCATGATCCAGACGACTTAACACAGGTACTTCCCTACAATTACTATTGCCAATCCTTCAGATTGATTTCTACCTGAAACCCAGCTGAAGCACCAGGAGCCGTTTTTGGAGTGCGTTGAACGGGTTTGACTCCCGTTTGGGACACCCCTTGAAACAAGGAGAGAACCACATTGTCCACATGGAGCTAACAAGTTCGATAGCCGGACCTACTACCCTATCCCAGACACTCCATCGGACTGCCATATATATGCCGATCAGACCAGGGGTGGTTGAAGTCGGGTGGTCAATGGGGTTGCAGTCCGGACTGGCAGTCCCAGACTGGTCGTGTCTGGGTACGGATCCATGGATCCACCCTCTTTGAGGTACAGCTTGGGCTCTTTAATGTGTGTTTTTTTCACGTTTGTCTCATGCTGGCGGCGGTCGGTCTTTGGGTCGTGTCATGTCCCTGTCCGCTTAAAGGAGCTACTGGGGATGGCCTCCAACCTGGCCTCCAACCTAGAGCGATGTAGTTGATGAATAGAGGGGATACCCTTGGTCTTGTACAACCAATTATCTATAGGTGTATATGGTTCCCCTTCAAGGACATCAATGACAAGTTCACGTTACGCTCCAGTAGAAGCCCACTTTGGATGTAGGGTTACACCACTGGATGTTGCCACTAGAAGTTGCCCACAGCTACATTGCTACATCTCCAACAACCAGCCTTACAAAGCTGGGACCGCCAGTCTGGTGTTTCGTATGCCAGGGCGGTTCAAGGTTCATGTGACTGTCTCAGTGACTCACTAACCATTGCTGGAGACACAAACTTTGAGAATTGTTGGCTTGACTTACTTGGAGGAAATTGTTTGCCAGCAATGAATGAGAGGTTGTCGTTTAGAATGAACTTGCCATGTTGATTTCATCAAAGCCATATGCCAAACATAGTTCCACGACCCCATTTTTGTGGGATCTGGAGTGCTCTTACTTCCACGACCAACCGCGGCTCCGTGATCGTGAAACGCCTCCGAAAAAACGCTGTCAAGTACGCCGCTGTGGACTGTGGGAGTGCGCGGGTCTCACATTCCTTTGCGGAGTATGAACCAGCCATATCCAGACCTGGGAGTGGGGACCACCCAACAGGTCGAACAGGTAGATGAAGGATGAAAAAGGTAGACGAAGGTCCCTACAAGTCAAAGACCTCATGGAAACCTGGAGATGATTGAGATGATCATACAAAACCAAGACTCAAGGACTCAAGGAGGTAAAAGACAGGTTTTACTGGGTCTCTTGGTGAACGAGATTCCGGCTTCACCCCAGTGGGTTGATCCGCTGTTTTTCTCGTCGGTCAACAACCCCTGACTTTTCTCCGCAGAGGATCACATGGAAAACCCTAAAGCCACGGCGGTTGGTAGTGGGAAACAATCTTACAGGGTCCACGTTAGCTTTCGGGAGTGTACTCCATTATTGAACACCATCACCGATCGATGCCTTTGGTACCAGGTGTGGAAGGATGTTGGCCCGGAGATCAAGGCCGCCCGCAGAACCGAGGAGAGCTTTCACCATTCATAGGACTGTAGCAGTTATAGTTACCCAAGGCTTTCAACAACCATTGTTTTAATGATCTTTACCGAACCACCATTGTTTTACTAAGGATTTTACACTACGCAAGCAGGTCTGTCCCTTTCTGTTCATGGTCTTGGTTGGAATCCTAGGGGTTACATAGATGGGTCCGCGGGTGGCAAATTAGGAGGTCATAGTATGAGATGGTTACATCCCATCAGTAAATGTTAGATGAATGCTCCGTGGGTGAATTGGGATCCATTTGGGGCATAGTTACATCCAATGAGAAATGGGAGGTCATTCCATTGCACGGGACTGGACGTGAATATGGAGTCGAGTCTAAACAAGTCGTTTTGACTCCGGACCTTGGGCTTTGTTCTGACTGGAACCAGCTGAATAAGGAGGAAACCAACTCCAGCTGTACATATTATGTGTATCATATGTCTAAATTTTAGAGTCTAAATCATGCATTTTGGAAAACCACTGAAGCCATAGAGGCTCATGCACCTAGCTATGTGTGTTCTGTTGACCCCCAGACCAATACGATTCAACATAACTTAGTTGATGGAATGCATGTAAAGCATAGCATTCTTTGACGTCTTCTCATGCAATATGTGTCACTCATCATTTTGCTTACGCGACTTTGCATTTTGGCTCAAGCACTGCGGAAAAAGGCGTTTGCGCGTGGTGCTTGCCGTTGCTACACTAAACTACCAACTTTGGCTGTGGTTGGTGAGTTTAACTGGTTAACAGCCTCAGCTATCGCATTTCATATTCGTCATAGGGTAGCCTTGAGCCAGCTTTCTTGTGACAAACCCGCCACTGCTTGTGAGTCTCAATACTCGGATCCAAAATCGAGTTGAAAGGGTCCTTCTTGGGATAAGCACGTAGTGTGATTTCGGCATCCATTCGTTCTTCAGGCTGCCGTCAACAAAGGAAAGCCGAGTGTCAGATCCAAGGACGTTGCTTCTTCAGCAACACCACATCGTAGGATAGGATCCGATTCATATCCATGCATATTGTAAGAGACTAGTTTGATCGCATCGTAAGATAGCCTTCACTAGTTTAGGTTCAAAGATCAATTAAAGTGCAGAACTCATAGAGCAAGGAGCTTAATCAGTGCATTTTGCCGATCCCTTGTGCTGCATCCAAAGGTTTGCATTAGTGTGATCTTAAGCTCATTCATTGAAAGAATCAAGCCGGATTCGTTGCATTGGATCAAAGGAGTTAGCTACTCTTGTTTCACTGCACGCATCCTTGTTCGCTGTTCGGCGTTGAATGCGAGCTCGCTCTCGATCACCCGCCGTCGACGTTGGCACACCGCTTCAAGACGTTGGCAGGCGGCTCAACGAAGCTTTAGATCGGTACAAGAAGGTCAAAGCTGAGAAGCGAGCAGGAAAAGATTTCCAGAGACGCCGCAAGTCGTTGGTCTTGACAATCCTTGAATATTACATTCACCTTGTGCAGATCGGTGTTACTGCAACAGACGGGGATCGAAAGTATATCAAGCGATTAAATCAGGCTCAGGAGACTTTCAGATTGGCGAAGTTTGAGAACAAGTTGCCTTTGCGATCCGAGCCAATTCTCCCTCGAGTGGAGGACGACGACGATCTTGAAAGCCATTGTGCTGAGAGCGT